CTGGATCTGTCCGTTTTCAGTAGAAGGGTGGTAAGGATCTATCCATTTCTCCTTGCAGCTCTATCAGTTTTTGCCTCACAGGGTTTGTTTTGGGTTTTTTGTTTGTTTGTTTATTTTTTGAGATGGAGTCTCTCTCTGTTGCCCAGGCTAGAGTGCAGTGCTGTGATCTCTGCTCACTGCAACCTCTGCCTCTGAGGTTCCAGCGATTCTCCTGCCTCAGTCTCCCGAATAGCTGGGACTAACCACAGGCACCCGCCACCACACTCAGCTAATTTTTTTGTGTGTTTTTAGCAGAGATGGGGTTTCACCATGTTGGCCAGGCTCGTCTCAAATGCCTGACCTAAGGTTACCTGTCTGCCTCAGCCTCCCAAAGTGCTGGAATTACAGGCAGGAGCTACCACACTGGCTTGCCTCACATGTTTTGACACTTGGTTGTTAGGTGCGTTCATGCTACAAATTGTTATATAATGACCCCTTTCTCATTGTGTAAAGCCCCTCCTTATCCCTGTTAAACATTCTTGCTCTGAAGTCTGCTCTGTCTAAAATCAATATAGCTATACCTGTATTCTTTTAATGAGGATCATATCTCTTTCTCTATCTCTTTACTTTTGATCTATGAGAGTTCTTACACTTAAGTGTGTTTCTGGCCAGGGACAGTGGCACACACCTGTAGTCCCACCTAGTTGGGAGGCTATGGCAGGATTGCTTAAGCCTAAGGAGTTTGAAAAAAAAGTAAATAACAAAGTGTGTTTCTTTAGACAACATATAATTAGTTGGATCTTCTTTTTGGTCCACTCTGCTCCTCTCTATTTCTAATTAGCCTATTTAGACCACTGACATTAAAAGCGATTGTGACGTGTTTGTGTTCATATTTACCAAACGTTTTACTGTTTTCTATCTGTTTCCCTTGCTCCTTGTTCCTATTTTTGTCTTCCACATTTTCTGCCTTTTGTAGTTTTAATTGAGCATTTTATACAATTCATTTTTTCTCCTTTCTTAGCATATTAATTATATTTCGTTTTTACTTTTTTAGTGGTCGCCCTGGAGTTTGCAATATATGTTTATGACTAACTCAAATCCACTTTCAAATTACACTCTAACAGCTTGCGGGCAGTGTGAGTACCTTATGATAACGAGATACTCCTAATTACCCCCTCTTGTTCTTTGTGTCATCGTGGTCATTTGTGTCATTTTATAATAAGCTGTAATTGTTTGAATGCATTTTTGCTATTATATTTTGTTTTGTTTTGTTTTTTATTTAGAGACTGGGTCTCCCAATGTTGACCAGGCTGGCCTCAAACTCCTAGGTTCAAGTGATCCTTCTGCCTCAGCCTCCCAAAGTGCTGGGATTACAGGCATGAGCCACCTAGCCCAGCCTGCTAGTCTTATTTTGAACAAACTGTTACCTGTTTGATCAATTAAGAATAAGAAAAATAGGAGGGGAGGGAGAGAAATAAAAGAATAAGAAAAATAAACATTTTTATTTTAATCTTCATTTACTCCTTCAATACTTTTCACTTCGTTATGTAGCTCCAAGTTTCTTACCTACATAATTTTCCTTCTCTCTGAAGAACTTCTTTAACATTTCTCCAGGCAGGTCTACTGACAACACATTCCCTCTATGTTTGTTTGAATGAGAAAGTGTCTCTCTTTTACTTTTTTTTTTTTTTTTTTTTTTCCTGAGATGGAGTCTCACCCTGTCACCCAGGCTGGAGTGCAATTGTGCAGTCTCGGCTCACTGCAACGTCCACCTCCTGGGTTCAAGCCATTCTCCTGCCTCAGTGTCCTGAGTAGCTGGGATTACAGGCATGTGCCACTACACTGGCTAATGTTTTTTATTTTTAGTAGAGACGGGATTTCACCATGTCGGCCAGGCTGGTTTTGAACTTCTGACCTCGTGATCCACGGGCCTCAGCCTCCCAAAGTGCTAGGATTACAGGCGTGAGTCACCACACCCGCCTTCTCTTTTACTTTTGAAGGATAATTTCACAGAATACGGAATTCTAGGTTGGCGGGTTTTTCCCTCTCAACACTTTATTTCATTCCATTCTCTGCTTCTTTGCATGCTTTTTGAGAAGAAGGAAGAGGTAATTCTTATCTTTCTATTTATAGCAAAGAAGAATTACTTCTAATCTTCCTGTGGCTCCTTTCAAGATTTTTTTTTTAATCTTCAGTTTTCTGCAGTGCGAATATGATATACAAATGTTACAAATGTTAACTTTTTTGTTTGTTTGTTTGTTTGTTTTAATGCATTTAATCTGTCTTATGTTCTCTGAGCTTCTTGGATCTGTGGTTTGGTGTACAACATTAATTTGGGGGACTTTTAAATCATTATTGCTTCAAATGTTGCTTCTATTTCTTTCTTCTCCTGGCATTCTCATTATGCATATGTTATACCTTTTGTAATTGTCTCACAGTTCTTGGATATTCTGTTACCATTTTTTTCCAGTGTTTTTTTCTCTTTACTTTTCGGATTTGGAAGGTTCTGTTGAGAAATCCTCAAGCTCAGACATTCTGTCCTCAGCCATAGCCAGTCTACTAATGAGTCCATCAATGGCATTCTGCATTTCTGTGATGGTGTTTTTGACCTTTAGCATTTCTTTTTGATTCTTTCTTGGAATTCCCATCTCCCGCTTACATCACCTGTCTGTTCTTGCATGCTGTCTACATTTCCTATGAGAGCCCTTAGCACATTCATTATGGCCGTTTTAAATTCACAGTCTTGTAATTCCAGCATCCCTGCCATATCTGAATCTAGTTCTGATGCTTGCTCCGTCTCTTCAAAGTCTATTTTTTGCCTTATAATTTTTTGTTGAAAGCCGAAGATGATTTCTCTAGGTTTCTTCTTGCTCTTCTGGAGGTTTCTGCCCTGTTCTCAGGGAGCTTTCTACTTCAGTAAGCTGCAATTCCCTGTATTTGCCTGTCTCTCCAACTTTAGGGCAGCATTTTGCCCTGTGACCTTACTTCTATGCCAGATCTAAGAAGAGTTGCTGGTGCCTTCCAAGCTCCTTGCATGCCAGAGGAGAAACCACACTAGAAGTCCCTTTGCCCATATTTAAATTGGGTTGTCTTTTAATTGTTGATTTTTTTTTTTTTTTTTTTTTTTTTTTTTTTGAGACAGGGTCATGCCTGGTTGCCCAGCTGGAGTGCAATGGCACAATCTCAGCTCACTGCAATCTCCGCCTCCCGGGTTCAACCGATTCTCCTGCCTCAGCCTCCCAAGTAGCTGGAATTGCAGGCACCCATCACCATGCCTGGCTAATTTTTTTGTATCTTTAGTAGAGATGGGATTTCACCCTGTTGGTCAGGACGATCTTGAACTCCTGACCTTGTGATCCACCCGCCTCATCCACCCAAAGTGCTGGGATTACAGGCGTGAGCCACCGCGCCCAGCCTTAATTGTTGATTTCTAAGTGTTCTTTGTACATTTGTATACAAGTTCCTTGCCAGATGTATGATTTGTAAATCTCATTCTGTGATTAGTGTTTTCACTATTTTTACTAAAGCACAAAAGTTTTTAATTGTGATGAAGTCCAACTTATTTACTCTTTTCTTCTGTAGTTTATGCTTTGGTGTTATAGCCAAGAAACCATTGTCTAACCATTGTCTAAACAAAAATTTACCCCTATGTTTTACTCTAGGAGTTTTAGAGTTTCAGCTCTTTTAAGTTCATTTTGTGTAAGGACTGAGATACGGGTTTAACTTAATTCTTCATGTGTAGTTATTTAATTGTCCCAGCACCATTGATTGAAAATACTATTTTCCTCCATTGAATTGTTTTGGCAACTTTGTCAGAAAATCAATTCACCATAATTGGGTTCTCTCTAAATAATTTTTAACCTTTATTTCATTTCCTGCTAATTCCTTTTATATGACACAATAGCTGTTCAACATTGTGGTTCTCTCCATTTCAGCCTCAGTTCTATTATGTTTTTACTTAGATTGTCATAAAACAGAAGGAAGGACATTCTGTTTGACTAAATGGGGAATCAAAGTGAGCATAGGCTCAAAGAAAGAATGCACAGAAGCACAGAAAATTGTTACAGAAACAAGCCCAGCTGGCTAAAGTATAGAGGACATTTATGGCATTGTGGTAGCACTGAAATATGATATTTTTAAATGATAGACAAGTGTTGGGGGCAGATTGTGGACAGTCTTTGTAAGTCTGGTCAAGAAATTTATAAATTGGCCCAGCAAAGTGAGTCACAGCTGTAATCCCAACACTGTGGGAGGCTGAGGCATGTAGATCCCCTGAGATCAGAAGTTTGAGACCAGCCTGGCCAACATGGCGAAATCCCATCTCTACTAAAAATATAAAAATTAGCCAGACATGGTAGCACATGCCCGTAATTCCAGCAACTAAGGAGGCTGAGGCAGGAGAATTGCCTGAACCCAGGAGGCGGAGGTTGCAGTGAGCTGAGACTGCTCCACTGCACTCCAGCCTGGGCAACAGAGTGTGACTCCATCTTAAAAAAGAAAAAAAAAAGAAAAGTGAGGCTTGTAAAAACTACACTAGAATTGATAATTAAGAAGTTGCTATTGCTTTAAAGAATTCAATTTTATTTCATCAGCCAGGTGGAAGATAAATATCATTATACTGAAGAATACATGATGAAAATATAAATGTAGCAAGTTCAGAGGTAAAGAAGAGACAAGGGTCCAGAGTTAGTGGTAGGATCACAGTCAAGAGAAGGTAAGGTGTATTGTTACCCCAAGTGAAAAGCATTTTACGTATTTGCAAAGCAAAGAAGGAGTCTTTGGGGAACATTAGACTGCAGATGAGAGAATGACAGAGAAGCAGGAAGGAAGAAATAGTTGTTCGAAGGGAAGGGAGGACAACTGAGGGGAAATATTCCACAAGAGTTATGAGGAGGGTCTGGGTGCAGTGGCTCACGCCTGTAATCCCAGCACTTTGGGAGGCCAAGGCGGGTGGATCACTTGAAGTCAGGTTGAGACCAGCCTGGCCAACATGGTGAAACCCCATCTTTGGCGCTGACCACGATGCTGATCAGGAAGCAGCAGCTGCAAGCCCAGTCACGGGCGGCTCAGTGACCATCAGCCCAGTGACCCGCAGCCAGGTCTTCACCTGGGTCCTCTCAGTGAAGCCAGGGGGGCCACCCCAGCAGACAAAGCTACTGAGCCATCTCCTGACAGTTGCTCCAGTGCAGTAAATGTAATTTGAAGAAGGCAGAAGGAACCCATGGCTTTAGCCGGTTGCCCAGATTCCTTTTTGTACCATCCCTACTACCAGGACAAAGTGGAGCAGACACCTCGCAATCAACAAGACCTGGCAAGACCAGGGCTCCATGCACAGCCTGACCAACTCGTTCTGGAATTTCTTCCCAGAACAGACAGTTACTTGGGGCCAGCAGTCAAATGGCAGTCAAAGCCAGCTTTTGCAGAATTTTCTGAACTCCAGTAGCTGTCCTGAAAAGTCAAGGATTTTTGCACGTGAAAGAGCTGGGAAAGAAATCATGGAAAAAGCATATGTAATATGTGTGTTTGTGGAGATCTGGCCTTTATTGCTCCACAAAGGGAACTTCAAAGGAACCCAGACACCTACAGCTGCTGGCAGACCTGGAGGACCGCAGCACCTTCTTGATCGCCGGCAGGACGCAGTCCAGCGCCCCCACAGACCACGGGCTCTGCGTAAAGCCAAAGTCAGGAACGAAACTAAAGAGCTGAGGTTGCTCTGTGCAGAGGGTGAGCAAACCAGGGCATGCTGGATGACAGCGTTCAGACTCCTCGAGCCCGGAATGCTCCTTTACCGGAAATAACCGCATCCCTCAGCAGAGGAAGGCCTTGCTGTCCCCATTCTCAACGCCAGTGCGCAGTGTCTCCAAGGTCTCCCTCGTGGCGATGGATTTTTCTGGGCAAACAGGAGGCGTGATAGAGAATCCGGCGGAGGCCCAGAGTGCAGACCCAGAAGCAGGCCACGCCTGGCGGAAGCGAAGCACACCGCTGAACATACTAGGCAGCCCACGTCCCCTCCACCCGTCTACCCTAAGTACCGTGATCCACAGGACACAGCACTGGTTTCACGGGAGGATCTCCAGGGAGGAATCCCACAGGATCATTAAACAGCAAGGGCTGGTGGACGGGCTTTTTCTCCTCCGTGACAGCCAGAGTAATCCAAAGGCATTTGTACTCACACTGTGTCATCACCAGAAAATTAAAAATGTCCAGATCTTACCTTGCGAGGACGACGGGCAGATGTTCTTCAGCCTAGATGACGGGAACACCAAACTCTCTGACCTGATCCAGCTGGTCGACTTTGACCAACTGAACAAAGGAGCCCTGCCTTGCAAACTCAAGCACCACTGCATCCGAGTGGCCTTATGACCGCAGACGGCCTCTCGGCTGAAGACTGGAGGAAGTAAACACTGGAGCGAAGAAGCAGTCTGTGAGTTAGTTAAGATCACACGTCGATTCTGCACCTGGGGACCCAGAGTGAGATGGGTTCATTCGGTGCCAGCCGACGAAGATTGACTAGTTTGTTGGACTTAAACGACGATTTGCTGCTGTGAACCCAGCAGAATCGCCTCCCTCTGCATCGGCCATATTGGGGAGTACATGAAAGATCCAGCGCAAATTTGAGAATAAACTGAAATGATCATCTTGTCTTGTGCCGCTTAGGAGCAAGAACTGGAGAGAAATGATTGGAAATGAACTCCTGCCCTGGAATAATCTTGACAATTAAATTTATTTTTTTTTTTCCGTTAAAATAGTGTTTATTTCACTTTGCGTCTGCCCAGTGCTCTGGCGCCTCCTCCCTGGGGCGGCGTGTTAGGGCTCACTCTCTATCAGACCACGGGCTAGGGGCGGCGGATGGGTTGGGGGACCGGGAACCGAGGAAGGCAGTGAGAGCTAGACAAACAGTCGGAAAATGCACCGCGGCACACAGCGCGGGCGGACCCTGCGCGCCCCTCCGCTGAGCCTGCCCGCCACTCCAGCAGCCGACACTTCCCGCATCTTACAGGGGACGACAGCTCAGGCCCCGGGGCTGGGGGCCAGGGAGCCGGTGCAGGGAGGGTCTGCGGGGGCGGGGGGCTCACGGCCTCCTATCCCAGCCCTGCCCCGGGCGCGCGGGTGGGTGGAAGGCCCAGCTCGCGGCCTCGTGATTGGGCTTCGCGGGAGGTGGAAAACCGGGGGCGGGCCGGCGGGGGCGCTTGGCGGCGTTGCAAGCTCAGAATCGCAAGCTCGGCGGTTGGCGAGGGACGGAGCGCGGCCGGCCCCGGGCTGGGGAGGCGCCGTCGGGACGGCTGAGCCACAGGGTGCCGGGCGTGCCGGCTCACAGGCGGTCCATCCGGAGGGCGTCCTCGGTGGCCGGGTCGGCCAGAACCGTGTCGGGGTAGTCGAGCATGTGCAGGCCGTCGAGGATCAGGGGGTCGATCTTGAGTTCATCCAGGGGAAACTGGCTGTCGGAGTCGAAGCTGACGTCGCCGACCCCGGCCAGAGAGCTGGTCAGTTCTTTAGAGAGGCTGGGGGGGGACTCTCCGGTCACCGTGAGGATGATGTTGGGGATGCCGCTGTGGCTGGCGTAGCGCAGCTGCCGCGAGTCCGGCAGGCTCCCGTGGCTGCCCGAGAGGCCCATCATGGCCGCCTGCGAGGAGCTGAGCGTGGAGCCGGGGCCGTACAGGCTGCTGGGGCGGATGGCGTCCTCCATCGTGCTGAACCGCTCCAGCTGCTGGGACGGAGCGTTGGCCTGCCTGGCCGCCATCTGCTGCTCATAGTACGCGTCCCCAAACGCGCTGCCCAGGGTGGACGTGTGTTGCGGGGAGCTCCCCGGGGAGAAGCCTTGATTGGAGCCTGGCGAGGTGGGAGACTGGTTGGCCGGGGAGCCGGCGCGCGTGCTGTACTGCTGCAGAGCCGGCGCCGACGCGATGTCGATCCCCATCGACGGATGGCCGGGGTTCTCTGGGGGGCGCTGGGGGAGAGAGAACGGTACCGTGACCGCGATTGGGGGTAGCTGTGGCCCACAAGCCAGGCTGGCGCTGGGCAACAGGGGGCCGCCGGGGGACAGGCGGACGGACACCTGCGGGGGTGGTGGGGGCGGCGGCTGCTGCGACGCCGGCGGAGGGGGCGGCGGGGGCTGGGGCTGCGGCGGCGGCTGCTGGGAGCCCGCCTGGGTGAAGAAGACGTAGGGCAGCTGCTGCTCCAGAGACAGGGCATCTATGGACACGGCCTGAGTGATGGGTGACAGCGGGGACAGGGTGGGCGATGCCTGCTGACGCCTCGCCTCTGTGCTCAGGGACAGGGGGCTGACGCCGGCTGGGCGGTGCTGCGGAGAGGACCCAGGTGTGCTCATTCCCTGGCCGGCGCCGCCGGTGCCCAGGTGCGTCAGGTTGGCCGCGAGGTTGCCGGTGCTGCTGGAGCTGCTCAGCGCGGGGAAGGTGGGCTCCTCGGGGTCCAGCGGGGTCGGGAGCGGGGAGGGGAAGTGGATGTTGGTCAGGTCGGGCAGGGAGCCCCCAGTGTTGTGGGTGGCGGGAATCAGGGCTGTGGTATTTTCCTGGTCAGCGGATGGGAAGATGTTGATTCCGGGGACCTCACAGGACTTGGGCCTGGACCCCGTCTTCTTGGTGTCCCACTGTTGCTTGGAAAGGTTTTTGTCTGCCTCTGATGTGGTCTCTTCCATTCCTGGGACTGTTAACAGTAAGACTTTCTTCTGGTTCACGTCCTGGGACCCACTGGTAAAGGATTCTGGCTGTGTGGGCGTCATTGTGCTCTGGTGCAGTGCGGAGTCAGAATTGGTTCTTCTCCAGCTGGTGTCCGCGGGTGGCCGCAGGTACACGGTGCCGTAGGGACAGCTGTCGGCCTGCAGTCCGTGTTTGTCCACTGACAGGGGCCGGCTGTGCGGGGAGCCGAGCCGGCCGCGCTCCCGGTACACCCTGTTCACCAGCCCGTGGTGCCGGGTGGTCCGGCTGGTGTCCAGACCCGAGGATTGGAAGGGGGTCTGGAAGGGCAGGTGCATGGTGCCACTCCCAATCCGGTTCATATTGAGCAAGGACCCGCCGTAGTACTGGTCACGGCTCGGGCCCAGTTGCAGGTACTGGGATTTCTGGAGCTGGAGCCGCGCGGCCCGCGTCAGGCTCAGGTCCTTCATGACCTCCTCGAAGGCCGCCGTCTCCTCCGCCTGCTTCTGATTGTGCAGCGCGATCTTCTCGATGAATTTCCGCGGATTGTTCGAAATCGCCATCTTCTTGCCGCGGCAGCCGCCGCCACCGCTGCCTCCTCCTCCTCCGCCTCCTCGCCCCCGCCACTCGCCCCCGCCACTCACCCGCGCCGCCGCGCAAGCGCTGGCTGGGCCCCCTAATTTTGTATTTTATACAAAATTAGCCGGGTGTGGTGGCACATGCCTGTAGTCCCAGCTACTGGGGAGGCTGAGGCAGGAGAATGGCTTGAACCCAGGAAGCAGAGGTTGCAGTGAGCCGAGATCGTGCTGCTGCACTCCAGCCTAGGTGACAGAGCAAGACTCTGTCTCCCCCCCACCCCCCCCAAAAAAAAGAATTATGAGGAGGATAAAATATATCACGCTGGGTAGGAGAGAGAGAGAAAATTAACATTAGTCGAGCAGAGAGAACTTCTCCTTTGGAGGAAAGAGTGAAAAGTTGGGAGTGAGTGCAAGTAGAGAAGAGGATACCACCCTTGGGAGTTCCTGTGAGATGTCCTTGGCCTTCACAGTAAAATGCAAATTTGCTCTGGGAATTTCTGGGAATAACAATGAAGAGAAGTGCCACAGAGCCCCTGCAAGAGCTCCACTTTACTTGCACGAATCTGTAAACAAGCCCGTTGGCCATATTTCCATGACTTCTCCAGGAACACTCTCCATGAGGGATTGAATCAAAGGGCTAATCTAGATTCGACTTGGATCAAGCAAAAAGACTGAGGTTAAAAGTTTGCTAGTCGAGTCAGCATTTAAATGTATAAAAGCATTTTTGGCTAGTGATCTATTTCAGCATTCAGAATCCTGACACTTTAGTGAGAGGGAGGTGCACCCAAAGGTAGTTTAGCAAAGAGGATTAGCAAGCATCTAAACTTCTTTGTGCTCCATTCCCTGTCATCAATACTACTGTAATAAAATGAGGACATAATTCTTAGCTATTGCTTTGACTCTCTGTATACAGAGCAAGATTGGCCATTGAGGTTGGACATTGTCTCCTTGAATTGGCACTGCAGATTAAAATTGGGAGGTGGCAAGGAAAGAGAGAAAGGAGGGGAGAGCGGAGAGAGGATCAATCTTCCCCTCCTCTGAGGGAAGGGAGAATACATATTAACCCTTGGTGATGGGAGAGGGCAGGCTTCCTGTGGTGGACAACTCCGAAGCTGTCTGAAAGGCAATACGAATAGTTGACTAGAAGGCATTTAGAGGTTTTAGATAAAGCACGTTAGAGAAATAGTTTCCTTTGCAGGAACCATTTCTTTCCTTTGCAGAAGAAAAGCACAATCAAGTCTTATTTTAACTGCCTAGGGATAAAAAGGTCTGTGACAGGCATGCTACACTATATCACTTTAGTCCTGCATATCAATGTAGTGATCTCAGTAATGACAAATAGTGACAAAAATGTTTTTGGAGAATATATAGATATATATTTGGAGAATATATATATATATATGTGTGTGTGTGTGTGTGTGTGTGTGTGTGTGTGTATGTCTGTGTGTATGTATATCTCCACGTGTGTGTGTGTGTGGGGGGGTCCATTCTGGATTTTTCTACTTTGCTCAGGAAGGAGAAACATAGTTGTTTTCACTTCATCCCAAATACCAAGTGATTTGGTTCATCTCAGGCACTCATCCCAGTGACCACAGCTGCCAGTCAGGATACAGTGGTATCCTGTACCTAGAAACATATTTTCCCTCCATACATTGCCTTACCAACCAATAAGAGTTTCACTAGAATAAATTAAGCCAAGAATGTGAAGTATTATGGACTTTATCTGTATTTATTGCTATATAACAATTCACCCAAAGCTTAGTGGCTTGAAACAACAATAATTTACTATTCGTCAAAATTTTAGAGTTGCCTTCCTCTGCTGAGAGGTGGTTCTTCTCCATTTGGGATCTGCTGAGGTTGCTTATGCTGCCGTAGTCATCTGGAGGCTTATCTGGGGCTGGGTGAACCAAAATGGCTTCCTCTCCATGTCTACTGGTTGGTGCTGGCTTCTGAGTCTGCGTGGTCTCTCCAGATGTGCAGCCAGTTCTCTTTACATGGTGGCTCAGGCTCCCAAGAATGTATAGGAAAGCTGCAAAGCTTCTAAGGCCCGTATTCCAGCATTCACACTGTGTCACTGACAGAATGCCAAGCATGGGCCAGCTATTGGTCAAAGCCAAGCATAAGTCAGCACAGTCAAATGTGGGAGAGAATTTAACTGCCGCTTACCAGTGAGATGAATTGTGACTATCCTGTGGCCATTTTTAATCTCTCACAGAGTAATTAAATGCAATTCCATCTGTAAAATGCCTTATAGTGTATCTGGCACAAAGCAAGTTATTTTCAAAATGTTTATTGTTTTTATTATTATCATTACGTATGAGCCTTTTCCTTCTAAATAAAAAATATGTTTTGTGGATAAGGAGGTGGGTGAGCTTTTCTTTAGATGAACTTAAAGTTGATCAGAATATCTAAGACAAAAAAATAAAACCATCTGGCTGGGCGTGGTGGCTCATGTCTGTAATCTCAGCACTTTGGGAGGCCGAGGCGGGTAGATCACCTGAGATCAGGAGTTTGAGACCAGCCTGGCCAACATGGTGAAACCCCGTCTCTATTAAAAACAGAAAATTAGCCGGGCATGGTGGCACATGCCTGTAATCCCAGCTACTTGGGAGGCTGAGGCAGGAGAATCTCTAGAACCCAGGAGGCGGAGGTTGTGGTGAGCTGAGGTCGTGCCGTTGAACTCCAGCCTGGGCAACAAGAGCAAAACTCCATCTCAAAAAATATATATATGAAATAAAAAATACAACCATCCATATAGGATTCATTAAACTAGCATTAAAACTAAATACACATGTTGTAGAAGAATTTGGATATTTCAGAGAATTGTTCAGTTGAAATGTGACAAATTTGGCAGACCTAAACTAGGAAAAAGCAAATGAAAAATTTAAATTGTATTGATACGCTTTGGATTTGTGTCCCCATCCAAATCTCACGTCGAATTGTTATCCCGTGTTGGAGATGGGGCCTGGGAGGTGATTGGATCATGGATTTCCCCCTTGCTGTTCTCATGATTCTGAGTTCTCATGAGACCTGGTTGTTTAAAAGTGTGTAGCACCCCCCTCTTCACTCATTCTCCTGTCCTGGCCATGTAAGACGCGCCTGCTTCTCCTTTGCCTTCCCCTAATAACTGTACGTTTCCTGAGGGCTCCCCAACCATGCTTCCTGGACAGCCTGAAGGACCATGAGCCGATGAAACCTATATTCTTACAAATTACCCAGTTTCAGATAGTTATTTATAGCAATTCAAGAATGGACTAATAGGTATAAAATATTCAAAATGTCCCATTCACAAATTTTTGAAGATTTAAGAAGTATCACCTCCTCTTTTGTATTTTATCTGGTTTTGATCTTTAGTTTTTGTCTTTTCTTATATTGCATTTTTAGGAATTAGAGAATAAAATCTCAGCATGATGTTCCTCAATGGAGACACGAGTCCAGCTGAGGACGGCAGAGGGGCTGCCCTTCTTCAGTGCTCGGTATGTGCTTAACATTGTACGATGGAGTGTACACGGGGAGCTTTACATTCAAGAATCATAAACATTCAAAATATTGAACACACAGTGACATACTTGGGAAGCGATAGGAAACACCAAAATGTCACTTTAGTGACTTAACATTCTTACAGATAGTATGTAGCTCTTCCCAGGGCAGGTGAGCAGCAGTGCTGAACTGTTTTCGTGACAGTTTGGTTATATAATTGGTTATAAAGCACCATTCACCACTGTTAGTGCACTTTTTTTTTTCTTTTTTCTTTAGGAAAAGGTGCATTAATCAAAGAATAATCCAGCCCAATTTCCAGGTTGAGGATTTCATGGTATCAGTCCAAACATCACACTACTTAACTCCCCAATAAAACATTGGAAAACAGATTATCAGTGCTAACACATTTACATATAAAATCTCCACTTATGTACCAGTTCCTAAAACAGTTACAAGATAGATACACAATTTGGGGTAAACTAACAAAACAGGCTATCATAAAATATTAAAGGCAATCCTCCCTGGTCCATCTGCCCTTGTCACCTCTTACTTTAAGTTGGCGTAACTGAGAATGCATTAATATATTCCTGCACCACCTTGTAGCAGAACTCATACTGGTTCCAGGGTCTGGACCATGGGTAGCCTCTGTAGCCACAAGCTCTCGACATTTTGGAAGACATCCAGAATCCCTTCTGCTTTCACACATGTTAGCTCACTGTCTTTTTTTTTTTTTTTTAATTAAAAAAAAAAAAAAAAAAAAAAAAGACAGGGTTTCACCGTGTTGGTCAGGCTGGTCTTGAACTCCTGACCTCAGGTGATCCACCTGCCTCGGCCTCCCAGGGTGCTAGGATTACAGGCGTGAGCCACTGCGCCCGGCCTCACTTTCTATTTCTTGCCCTTGCAATAAGATTGACTAGGATTGAAAGAAAACTCTGTATTGGGCTAAACAACCTAAAATTTGGTTCTAACCTGAAACTGTGGTCTCTTTGACTTTCTTTTTTTTTTTTTTTTTTTTTTTTTTTTTTTTTTTTTTTTGAGACCGAGTTTCGCTCTTGTTACCCAGGCTGGAGTGCAATGGCGCAATCTCGGCTCACCGCAACCTTCGCCTCCTGGGTTCAGGCAATTCTCCTGCCTCAGCCTCCTGAGTAGCTGGGATTACAGGCACGCGCCACTATGCCCAGCTAAGTTTTTGTATTTTTAGTAGAGACGGGGTTTCACCATGTTGACCAGGATGGTCTCGATCTCTTGACCTCGTGATCCACCCGCCTCAGCCTCCCAAAGTGCTGGGATTACAGGCTTGAGCCACCGCGCCCGGCCGGTCTCTTTGACTTTCCAATGTAATAGCCTAAGAAACCTCTTAGAAATGATGGGATTTGTAGGCAGTACAGGATTTTAGATGGGGACAGGTCCTCTCCGGGATCTCTTACTGTTTTTTCTGCCAACAGCTATTCCCAGACACTCCATGAATGCAACCATTTGCTCTGGTCAAACATTTTAGTAAGAAATGACTATTACAGCCTCCTCAGCACTGGATTCCTGAACATTCTGGGTTCTTTGAACACCGGGAAGAAGCTTTGATATCTAAGTGATCTGGTTTCCTTTCTTCCTTCAAAGAAGTATAGCATTGTTCAAAGCAAGCAAAGGCCACAGTCTCCCGCAGCTATTTCTCTCCATGGTCACTCATAGAATTTTAGAGTTGGAAAGATGACTTCGAGACTTCTGAGTTCAATTCTAACTGCGCAATTTTATGACAAGTGTTTATAAGACGTGTCTAATAATACATCTTTATGGGAATGAATCTGGGATTTGACCTCTCTGTTCTCTATTCCACATTGCCACAGTTGACTTGGTTTAGTTAGGCAAAGATATGTTCCAAAGATAAAAATGCTTTTGTTTTTATGGTTATTCATTGTCCTATGGTTATTTGTTATTTTTTCTAGGGTTTGTGGGTCTGCCCAAATACTACATTTTTGTCAGTCTCATGACTTGCCACTTTTTTTTTTTGTCCACAGCTGCCAGAATTATATGCATGTATTGAACATTTTAATAAGGAGAGCAAGAAATCAAATCTTCTAAAAATACATAGTCTTTCACTTAACGAAGCACAGGAAGCACTTGCTAAAAACCTGAATGTTCTGTCATTGACCAAGGGCACTGATGTGAGAAGAGATCTCCAACCTGTTAGCAGGTGCACAGTGGTTAAAAAAGAGAAGAAGCCAGCATCCATGACTGAGCTGCTCCACCGCACCTTACTGGAGGGCTCACTCTCTCCAGTGGAGAGGCTCTCCAGGTCCCAGCAGAGGTTGTCACAGTGTGGGATCCCTGCTCCCAAGCACACTTTTCCTTATGAAATTCTCATTGATCACTCGAATGCCTTGGCCCAGGTTACCACACAGAAGAAGGTTCCAAGCGCCAAAATCTTATGCAGGCTAGGCATTTCCAGTGCCACTCAGGAAAAATTTGCCTTTGAAGATAAACTTCATAAATACTTCTTAGTTGATCCAGGTAATTTAAACAGATGAGGTCACGTGGCAGAAAAGGAATGGAAATCTCATTGCAAATTTACTAGAGCAGACATACTCAAATACTGACCTACAGCAGTTTTGCAGTTCTGGGGTTCATGGCTGAACAAAGCCTGGGAAACATAGACCCCATCTCTACAACAAAAAAATTAAAAATTAGCTGAGTTAGGTGGCATGTGCCTATAATTTCAGCTACCCGAGAGGTTTAGGCATGAGGATCACTTGAGCATGGGAGTTCGAGGTGGCACTGAGCTATGATTACACCACTGCATTTCAGCCTGGGCAACAGAGCAAGAACCTGTCCCTAAAAAATGAATAAATTAAAAATAAATTAAAATGCAGAACAGGGAATCTAGAATTCCAGGATCAAGTCCCAGATTCATTCTTAAAAAGATGTAATACATTCTTAAAAGATGTATTATTTATCCATGACACTTAAACTCTCCTTTACAAAATGAACCAGTTGAACTTGGACTCTAAGGCACTCATAGATGTTTGTTCCTTGTTACATGAAGTTAGTATTTTTTTTTTTATTCTTCCGTATCTTGGCTTTGATGCAATTAAGGGCTATTTTTAAGAGATTTTTTTTTTCATGAATCTTTATTCTTTCCTTATTGATACTTTTCTAGCAGGGTTTTTAACAGAGGCCACCAACCACAGGAGGAAATCTTGATTTCTGATTCTTTAATAGAGAGGTGCCCATAAAAGGCAAAGGATCACACAAGTTTAAAATAATTGAAATGTATGATGCCAAATTTTAATGAGAAGGGCGTGTCTTACACTCTAGGTCTCCATTTTACTTATATAATTTGAGAGAGGTAATATTTTGTCATTTTGTTAATATATCACATCAACTTGTAATAACCTGAGGTAGGTTCTTGATTCAAAATAAGACCATTTTCACAGCAAATATGACATCACCATTTTTATATTAAAAGTACTGGGATGGGGCAACATGGCGAAACCCCGACTCTACAAAAAAAGTAAAAAAGTAGCCAGGCATGGTAGCATGCACCTGTAGTCCCAGTTACTCGGGAGGCTGTGGCAGGAGAACTGCTTGAACCCAGGAGGCGGAGGTTGTAGTGAGCCAAGATTGTGCCACTGCACTCCAACCTGGGGAACAGAGCAAAACTCTGTCTCGAAAAAAATGTAATGGAAGCAGCAGAAGGAGCAGATTTAAAGGAATAGGTTGATTACTGTGGGTATATTTGGTCCCAGAAGTTGAAAGAGTCTTTGCTGTAACTCCCTACATTGATGTCTTGACAGAGCCCAATGCAGGTTCCTTTCATAGAGTCCTACTTTGTGTGCTTGGAGCCTAGGTAGACGCGCAATAAAAGCAATCATAGAACTGGCCTAGATAATTCACAAAGTACACAAGTCAAGTCTGGGACCAGAGAGGAAAAGTCATGAAAAGCGTTGAGACTCAGTAAGAAGAGCTAGTCAAAAACCTATTGAAGAAGGGTTTTGGATGATTGATAGGGTCTTGAACATTTATGATTTTGCTATCCATAGGGGCCAAGTTTTTCTTTCTTCCTAATGCATGAATTACCTGCTGTTACCTAACTTCTGGAGGTCTCTGATGTGGCCTCACAAACTCTGTGTTGGACTCTCTTCTCTGCTTCCATATCTTCATTTCCTGAGATCCTGGAGGTAAATTTCTGGTACATGTCATGTCTATTCAAGAAATATGCATGGAACCAGGCAGGCATCTATGTGAAGGATATCCAGTGATCCCTTAAGTGTAATTGGTATTGCAACAATTCATCTTCTACTCTCCTACTCAGTCCAGAAAAACTTTAGGATCCTGGTATTCCGAAGTATACTATAGGACATATCCCTATCAGCACCACGCACTGGTGGAGGAACAGGGTGTTTTGCTCTTCTCCTATTGTATGAGCTCCTCTGATTCAGGCCAAATCTTGTAGAATCATGCAGGTTAGGAATGTGTTTGACCAAAAATAACAGGAAAACCAAACAGGGGTTATTTTTCTTATATAGTTAGAAGTCTAGGGGTATGCAGATAATGGCTGGAACAATGCTTTTTATCTATTTATTTAATGAACACATAGTAATTGTACATATATATGGAATATGGAGTACAATATATATTTCAATAGATATATATAGTGATTGAATCAGTGTAGTTAGCCTAACCATCATGCACTTAACCATTTCTTTGTGGTGAGGCCTTTTTTTTTTTTTTTTTTTTTTTTTTGAGACGGAGTTTCGCTCTTGTTACCCAGGCTGGAGTGCAATGGCGCGATCTCGGCTCACCACAACCTCCGCCTCCTGGGTTCAGGCAATTCTCCTGCCTCAGCCTCCTGAGTAGCTGGGATTACAGGCACGTGCCACCATGCCCAGCTAATTTTTTTGTATTTTTAGTAGAGACGGGGTTTCCCCATGTTGACCAGGATGGTCTCGATCTATCAACCTCGTGATCCACCCGCCTCAGCCTCCCAAAGTGCTGGGATTACAGGCTTGAGCCACCGCGCCCGGCTGAGGCCTTTTTTTTTTGAGACAGAGTCTCACTCCGTCGCCAGGCTGGAATGCAGTGGTACAATCTCCACTCACTGCAACCTCCACCTCCTAGCTTCAAGTGATTCTCCTGCAGCTAGGAGTACAGGTGTCTGCCACCACAGCCAGCTAATTTCTGTATTTTTAGTAGAGATGGGGTTTCACCACGTTGGCCAGGAGGGGCTTGATCTTCTGATCTCACAATCTGCCCGCCTCAGCCTCCCAAAGTGCTAGGATTACAGGTGTGAGCCACTGCACCTGACCTGTGGTGAGGACTTTTAAAAATCTTCTTTCTAGCTACTTTGTAAGATACCATATCTTATTACTAACCATCCTTACCCTCTGGGCAATAGAACACCAGAATTGATTCTTCTTATCTAACTATAACTTTGTTTTAAATTAATTTTAATTTTTTTTTTTGAGACACTCTCTCACCCAGGTTGGAGTGCAATGACGCAATCTCAGCTCACAGCAGCCCTGACCTTCTGAGCTCAAGCAATCCTCCCATCTCAGCCTCTCAAATAGCTAGGACCTCAGGTGCATGCCACCATGCCTAGCTAATTTTTGTATTTTTTGTAGAGATGGGGTTTCACCATGTTGCCCAGGCTGGTCTTGAACTTTTGAGCTCAGGTAATCTGCCTGCCTTGGCCTCCCAAAGTGCTAGGATTATAGGCATGAGCCACCACTCCTGGCCCATTTTAAATTTTTTCGAGATGGTATTTTGCTATGTTGCCCAGGCTGGCCACAACTCCTGGGCTCAAGGAATCTTCGTTCTTCAGCCTCTTCAGTAGCTGGGACTTCAGGTGCGTGCCACTACGCAGAGCTTCTAATTACAACTCTGAACCCATTGACTTCTCTCTCCCCATCTCCCGCTCCTTACTCTGTCCCTGGTGACCATGATCCCACTCTCTGTGGAGCCTTGCTTTCAAATGCTTCCCAGGACCTGGGCTCTGCCATTGTTTCATGTGTACCTTTTGTTTTCATGTCCAAAAGACATCTCCTTTATTCTCAGGTGCTGTGGCCACATTCCAGGCAGGAAGTGGTGGGATAGGATGAAGGTCCACATTGATACTTCTGTCCTCTTTCAATAGGGAAGGAACTATTTTCTAGAACACCTCTCCCTAGGTGACTTCTTTATACATCTTCCTGGCCAGAATTGTTTCCAGTCATCACTCCTTCCTGCAGGGAAGGCTGGCGAATAGAGTTCTTAGCTCCCCTGTCTATAGCAGAGGAAGGCAGAAGAAGATTGCAGTGTGTGTGTGGAGTAAGCCAACCTAAAGACTGTCAGAGATCATGACAGGAAGTTCTTTTTTTTTTTTTTTTTTTTTTGAGACAGAGTCTCAGCTCTGTCACCCAAGCTGGAGTGCAATGGCACGATCTCGGCTCACTGCAACCTCCGACTCCTGGGTTCAAGCGATTCTCCTGCCTCAGCCTCCTGAGTAGCTGGGATGACAGGTGCCTGCCACCAGCTAATTTTGTATTTTAGTAGAGATGAAGTTTCACCATGTTGGCCAGGCTGGTCACTTTGGGAGGCCAAGGCAGGAGGATCGCCTGAGATCAGGAGTTTGGGACGTGAGGCTCTTAGTCACCAAAATCATCAGCTCTGGGACCTTCTCTTGTCAAAGATCCCCTTCCTTCCTTTTGCCACTTCTTGCTAATGCCAGGCCTACAAAGATCTTGTCAAACTCCCTGAAATCTTGGCAACTGGCCTTATCAACGGACTATTGAACACCGTGGCCAGGTGTAGTGTTCTACTTGGGGAGGTATGAGCCCAAGGAAGAGCCTCTGGCACCTGTCTTCTACTTCAGGCATGGACAGAGTCTATATAAAGACTTTCTACCACAAAGGCCCAGGCCCTCCCAGTACAGGGAGGGAGGACTGATTGGGGTGGGGTGGTGTCTGCTCAGTCTTTGAACTGCAGGTGACCTGATCAAATGTCACCACACCACATGGGGGTTGGTAAAGTCACCCACCAGAAATAGACTAGCCCTCCTGCTCGTCTGCTGTGACCATAATTCTCCTTATACTTACCTTGGTGGCCCATTGACTCCTGGTTTTATACTCAAGCCCCTGCCTTCAGCCTTGCTTATGTTGTTTTCAGCATTACAATGTATTTAGCCATGCAACGGGGGTCGGGCGGTGGGGGGAAGAGAAGGGAAAGGGGAATGGCTGCTGGGGAGGGGAACATGTGTTGTGTCTTTGCTTGATTCTTTCTCCTTGGCTCATTGACTCCTTGAAGGAATTGTAACTGCTAATGACACCTCAAGCTTGTGGGTCCTGAACAAGTATGGAGAATGGCCAGATTCCAGCTAAGCCACTGCCCTTTTATAGTTAGGGCTTACATTAGCATCTTGGAAAAAATGGTGCTAACGATCTGTGCACTTCTGACCCATCTTTCTCCCTGTTTTAGGATGCTTTTCTCCTCCCTGCTGCTCTCGTTGCTCTGTAGAGCTTTCCGTTTGCACATTCTGTTAGGATACAAGCACAGAATGAGACACTCCCTCCACCTGCCTGGGCCCTGCAGGGGTCCACTCAAGCCCAGTTAGCCAGACACACTCTATTCCTGTTTAGGAGCATGCTTTACATGAAATAAACACCACAGGGTCTCCCTTAAGTTTATAAAGCTTTAGGACAGGCGCAGTGGATCACTCCTGTAATCCCAGTCCTTTGGGAGGCCGAGGCGGGTGGATTACCTGAGGTCAGAAATTTGAGACCAGCCTGGCCAAAATGGCAAAACCCCATCTCTACTAAAATACACAAAAAAATTGGCCAGGCATGGTGGCACATGTCCTGTGATTCCAACTACTCGGGAGGCTGAGGCAGGAGAATCACTTGAATCCGGGAGGTAGAGGTTGCAGTGAGCTGAGATTGCGCCATTGCCCTCCAGCCTGGGCAACAAAAGCAAAACTCCATCTCAAAAAATATAAATAAATAAAAATAAAGCTTTAGAAATGGCTTTCTGCCAGAAAGAGGGGACTCAAGTTCTTCAAAGGTTTATTCTGTCCATGAAGCATCTCTGAGTAATGAAAGGTTGAATAACAATACCACACCATGTGATTCTTTGAAAATATGATTCTTTTCAGAAAAACAATTCATGGATCTAAGGGATCTGGAATGGAAATATTTTAAGGGGATTGTGAAGTGGAAGCACACTACTGCAATTTCATTCACAGGCATAAAATACAACACTGAGAAGAGATTTGTAGAGAGCCGGGACATGCCTGATGTTATTTTCCCCCCTATAGTTCGCAAGTCTTTGGTTATTTATCCTCAAATTGAACATCAAAATGAAGGAATTTTTTCTCTTAAATGGAATATATAGTGTATTAAAATGTTTTGGACATGTATTTCTGCTTTTGAGAGCATTGAATTTATGGGTGAAGAAGCCAAGCACCGAATAGAACATCTGAACTGAGTGTGTACAACACACATGAAGGTGTATTATAAAATTAAGTCATTATTGTGGAGCAAAGGGTCCAATTTAATCTGCTCGTGTGAGAAGTGGTTTGGACTATGCAACCCATCTGGACCAGGGCTAAAGTAAATATAGGTCATATGAAAAGAAAGGGTGTGTCTGAAGAACACCGAAGCAAGAATAGCTCTTTAAGGAATTTTAAGCACACAAGGAAGTTCATCATCATAAAAGTATTTGGCAAATTCAACAAATAACAACTGAGGATATAGAGATCAATATGAGAACTTAAATATATTAACTGCCCAAAGGCAAAGAAGGAGACAGCATCTATGAAATAAGAACAGGAAGATTTGAAAAAGAACAAATTGGAAATCTTGGAAGTAAAAGATATAGTCATTGAAAATCATAATAACCCTTGATAATTATCTCAGTGGTACCCTGAATATATCTGAAGAGAGAGGGCTAATAAGTTGGAAGACAACATTGAAAGCTTACAGATGATAGCACAGTAAGACAGAGAAAGAAGAGTATTGGAGGGTAGAATGAGAAGTTCAGAAATGTATACAATGGAATCAGCAGAAAAAATAGAATGAAAAGGAAAATGATATTTGAAAATAAAATGACAAAAAAAAGAAACGCATGAGATTTTGAACTGAAAAATATCAGACTGATTAGCAACATATTGATAATAGATCTATACCTAGAAACACTGTGGCAAAACTGTAGACCACTAAGCCATAAAGAAAAATATAATCTACAAAAGAGTGATGGACTACATACAAAGAAATGACAAATTGACAGTAGAACTCTCATTAACAATAGACATCGAAGGCGATAGTGTCATGTACTCAATGCTGAAGGAAAACAACTCTCCGTAATTCTATAAACAGCCAAACTCTTTCTGAGGAATAGGGGTAAAATAAATACATCAAAAAATACATGAGCCTCAAATGTTTACTATCCATAATCCCTTGCTTAAAAAAACTACTAATAAAGTATGTATTTTAGTAAGAACCCAGAGGGAATGCAAGAAATAATGGCAAGCAATTAAACTGTTGACAATATATGTGTCTGTGATTGTATAGATATTAAAATATATTTCTGGATTCTGTTTCCTAATATACTATTTTAAAAAGTTGTCTCTATATAAGTGAAATAATTCTGTAGTTTCCACTTTCTGCACTCTTTTTTAAAACCAGATTTTGGCCTTAAAATTTGGTTTTAAAATTAGCGGCCAGGCGCAGTGGCTCATGCGTGTAATCCCAGCACTTTGGGAGGCCAAGGTGGGCAGATCACTTGAGGTCAGGAGTTTGAGACCAGCCTGGCCAACATGGTGAAACCCCATCTCTACTAAAAATACAAAAATTAGCTGAGTGTGCTTGGCTGCCTATAATCCCGGCTACTCAGAAAGCTGAGGCAGGAGAATCACTTGAATCCTGGAGGTGTAGGTTGCATTGAGCCCAGATCGTACCACTGCACTCCAACCGTGGCGATAGAGTGAGACTCCATCTAAAAAAAAAATTATGCTGGCTTCAGCACAGTGACTATCTTCAGCTGAAGATACTGTCTAAAATGAGCATGGGGTGGGTATTTGGGGTGCAAAAACTGTTCTGGTTTTTAATCTTTTTGCACAGGTGTGTTCAGTATGCAAAAATTCCTCAAACTATACACAACTATTAATTTTTCTCCATGCATATTATGTTTAAAAAAAAAGGTTTTGGAGCCAAGAACAGTGATTTACTCCTGTAATTCCAGCTATCAAGGAGGCAAAGGCAGGAGTGTTGCTTGAGACCAGGAGTTCAAGAACAGCCTGAACAACGTAGTGAGACCCTGTCTCTAAAAAAAAATTACACGAATTAGCTGGGTATGGTGGTGTGCACCTGTAGTTCCAGCTACTTGACAGACTGAGGCAAGAAAATTTCTTGAGCTTAGAAATCGAGGCTGCAATGAGTCATGATCATGCCACTGTACTTCAGTCTAGGCAACAAAGCTTTAAAAAAAAAACCAACCAAATAGTTTTTTTAAAGTTATGCTAGCTTTATAAAATGAATTGGGAAGTTTTTCATCTTTTTTAATGTCACAGATATTTAAACAGTATTAGAAATATTCAAGTCTATCTAGAACTCAGCTATAAAACCATCCACTCTTGATATCTGTTCTTCTTGTTTTTATGAAAATGTTTAAACATTCATAAAAATTAATAGGATTCTACAATGAATTTGCATATATCCATAATCTAGACTCAATAGTTATTAAGATCTTATCACGTTTTATCTGTTCCTTTTGTTGTGTTTGCTGTGTTTGCTGAAGTACTTTAAAACAAATCAATAAATCTTAGACCCCATGTCTCAGATGTTACTTTTGTTTGCATCTTGGAAAAATATGAACATTTTCTTTCATAGCCACCATGTGTTATTTACTAAGAAAAGTTAATAATTCCTTGGTACCATCTTTGTTTCTGTATTTAAAGTCACCTTATTATAAAACTGTATTTTTCTAGTTGGCTTACTTGAATCAGTATCCAAGCAAGGTCTAAAGATTGCATTTGATTGTTAAGTCTCTTAAGATTCTTTTAGTTGTGCTGGGCGCGGTGGCTCACACCTGTAATCCCAGCACTTTGGGAGGCTGAGGCAGGTGGATCACAAGGTCAAGAGATCAAGACCATCCTGGTCAATACGGTGAAACCCCGTCTCTACTAAAAAATACAAAAAATTAGCTGGGCATGGTGGCACGTGCCTGTAATCCCAGCTACTCAGGAGGCTGAGGCAAGAGAATTGCTTGAACCCAGGAGGCGGAGGTTGCGGTGAGCCGAGATCGTGCCATTGCACTCCAGCCTGGGTAATGAGCAAAACTCCGCCTCAAAAAAAAAAAAAAAAGATTCTTTTAGTCTAGAGAAATTTCTCATTTTTTTTCATGCAATTGACCTGTAGAAGGTCCCACCTTCTAGATTTGTATCCTCATGGTGTTAATTTGTTCTTCTATCATATATATTTATTTAAAAATAAATTGATAGATTTATTTCTTATAAAGTGGATGTTAAAGATTAGTTTTGAGCTCACATCTTTTTGGAAAAAACACCTCTGGGTGGTGCTATGTACTTCAGATTGCTTCACAGCACAAGGCAAATAATGTCTATGGTTCTTTTAGTGAGTTTAAGATTGAGTAAAGGATTCAGGTGATGACAGTGTGATGCCTCTGTTTTATAAAGTCCCCATCAACTTTTCATTTAAAAGCTTTCATCCTTCGATGATGTTGGTAGGCAGTGTTGAAGTCAAATAAAATATAGAAACATATCTAAATTTAAAACATTTTATTTGGGAAGTAAGAATTGCAATTTGAGTCATATACACACACCAGGTTGCCTTCAGTGTGTCTAAAGAACAAAGAGAAGGTTGCAGGTTTTATAAAAAGAAGAAATGTTACACATTGTTCTGAAAGATGGCACTAGCAAAGTTTTGGAGAACTGGCAAGCTCTAATTGGTGAGTGAGCACGGTGGCTAAAACCAATCTTAGAGTCTAAGCAGGTTGTTCCAGTCACCATTAGATAAAACCGGTTTTAAGTTATAGCAGCCCATTTCAGCGTCCAGGCTTGCAGAGAATAGCGTTCTTGGAGCAATGTTATTTGTCTTAATGCTTTTGCTCCTGGCCCGTCAACTCTGATTTAGTTAGGCATGATAAGAACGATCCAGTTTGTATGATCAACTTTTATAGCAGCCTCTAAGAGGTTCCCCATGATCCCTGCCTCCTGCTATTGACTTTCTGTGTAATCTCCTTTCCTTGACTCTAGGCTGGACTTAAGACTTCTAGAATAGAAAAAAAAACAAAAAACAAAAAAAAAAAAAAAACAAAAAACAAAAAAACAACAACAAAAAAAGACTTCTAGAATAGAGTGCAGCAGAGATGGGATGTCACTTCAAGAATAAGCTAGCAAAAACTCTATGGATTCTACCTTGGACATCTTCTCTTGCTCTCTTCTTCACTGCTAGCTCTTAGAGAAGACAGCTGCCATCTTGAGAGATGCCCTGTGGAGAACCCATGTGGCACGTACCTGTTGTCCCTGGCTAACAGCCTGCAAGAACCTGAAATCTGCCAGCAACCTTGTAAGTACGTTTGTAGGTGAATCCTCCCCAACTCAAGTCTTAAGATGACCGCAGCCTCCATTGACATTTTGATTGTAGTGTTGAGAGACTGAACCAGGACACCCTGGTAAGCCATCCCAATTCTTAACCCACAGAAACTGTGAGATAATAAATGGTTTGTTGTTTTAAGCTGCAACATTCTGAAGTAATCTGTTACACAGCAGTAGATAACTCATACTATGACCTTTGCCTGAATTATTTCATTAGTGGTTACCCGTTGGTGATTATGTAACTCTGCCATTAATTCCACATTTATTAGTCGGAAATTATTTGTCAAGAAAAACTTTTCCTCATCAACTAGAGCTATTTAATTACCTGAAATGCAACCTACAAGAAAGCAGGTTAATGGCTTATGTTTTTTTCTGTTGTCAATTTTTAGATTAAGGGCTGATGTTCTAGTTACTTCCAAAGGTTACCAAAGAAGTGTTTCTGTCTCTCTTTTCAAATAGTATTGTGGCCGGGCATGGTGGCTCATACCTGTAATCTCCACACTTTGGGAGACCAAGGTAGACAGATCGCTTGAGGCCTGGAATTCGACACCAGCCTGGCCAACATGGCAGAAACCCCATCTCTACTAAAATTAAAAAATAAAAATATAGGTTCTGTGAGATTTATGCTTTAAGGCAGTTCTATTTATATTAATCTATTTTCACGCTGCTGATAAACACATACTTGAACCTGGGAACAAAAAGAGGTTTTGATAGGTTGTGTCACTATTATAGTTCAGTTTAAAGGATCTTTTAATTTTCATCTTGATTTCATTGCCCCAAAGATCATTCAGGAGCAGGTTATCAAATTTGCATGTATTTTCATGGTTGTGAGGGTTCCTTTTGGAGTTCATTTACAA